GAATCGGTTTGCTTTAGTGTGTGGGGATGATGGGAGCCATAACTGTAGGCATGGTGCTCTATCACTGTCTCTGAGTGCTCCCTTTGTGACTTTTGATTTATGTCAGGCAAGTTTGCCAACAATACCTAAAGTTTCTTACTATCTTCAACTGTATAAATCTGATATCTCTATAGTAAAACAGGGCTACTTTTATAATCAACAAAAATGTCAGATAAAATCAGTTTCTCATATCTGATGAAATAAGGAAGCCAAAATGATAAACTATTTGCTACAGATGCTGAATTATAAGAATAGTGAACAGGATGCATAACTGAAAGTTTGAAAGAAGTCTTTTTGTTCTTTATGAACAAACTAGAGGCCCAGTGCACAGATTTGTGGACTGGTGGGGGGCATGGTCTGCGGGGCTCCTCCCACTGTGGGAGCACCGCTCATCCTGGTCAACTGAGCGGCTATGGACCTGCCCTCTGAGCAGCTGCTCCCACTGTGATACCACTGTGCTCCCACTGTGGGAGTGTACTGATCACCAGGGGGCAGCTCCTGCGTTGGGTGTCTGCCCCCTGGTGGTCAGTGCACGTCATAGCAACTGGTCAACTGGTTGTTCTGGTCATTCAGCCATTCTGTCACTGGATATATATATATATTATTATTAAACATCTTAGAAATGGAGACAGTAGTTGAATTTCTTTTATTTGTTTTTGTTAATGTGAATCAAATGGAATGACATTCAAAAATAAGTGAAGAACAAGAGAATAGCAATCTCAATTTAATTTCTCCCTGATGCTAGAGAATAAAAGATAACTGATGCCACAGGAGAGAACAGGGAGAGAAGACACGTCAATGTTGCAGTCCTGTGGGGATGGGGTTTGGGACAGATCTGGGAATGATCTCACCATCCACAGGCAGAGTGTTGCAGTTGGGGCCCTGCTATACTAGAAGCAACATGATATACTTGGATCCTGGGGAGAAGAGATGCTGAAAGGGTGACTGAGGATCCTGGAGGTTAGTAGAGTTAAATGTTCATAAACAGTGAATTAGATAGAATAAATGAGATTCCAAACTACCATCTGTGTTTCTTTTCATGGGATTTCTGGGATACAGCACAGGCTTACCCAAAGTTTCTAAGCCCAGGGGCAGTAATGATAAATTACAAAATTGTTGCATTTCAGTTCAAAAGGCATAACATAATCTATTTGTGAAAAAAAAACACCTCAAATTAGGAATATTCTTCAAAACTACTCATATCTACCCTTTAGAAATGGTAACATCATGAATAACTGGAAGGCTTTCTGTTCAAGATTAAAGGAGTATATATAGAGAAAAGGCAATTAAATGCAATATATGATGTTGGATTGGATTTTGAATCAGAACAAAAAGTGGAAATTTTACTATATAGAACATTATTGGTCAGCAGGCAAAATTTGAGTAAAAATGATGTATTGTGTCAGTATTTAAAGTATTGATTTTGATATGTATATTGTGGTTATGCAAGAAAAGGTTTTGCAATTAGGAGATGCAGCCTGAGGTATTAGTTGTAAAGGGTCATGATGTCTGCAGTTTACTGTCAAGAGGTGCAGACAGTACTAGAAATAGCCCGAGGGATAAGGTAAACAACTGGTGAATCTAGGTGAAGGGTATGGGCATTTATTCTATTCTTACAACTTTCCTGTAAGTTTCAAATTATTCAAAATCATTATTTAAAAATAAAGACATGACAAATCACTTGTGTTAGGGCTTTGTCAGTGGCTTACCATGTGGACTTTGAGCCTGTTTCATCTGTGAAATAAAAATAATCTACCCCTGCCTGGCCAGCATGACTCAGTGGTTGAGCACTGACCTATGAACTAGGAGGTGGCAGTTTGATTCCCAGTCAGGGCACATGCCTGGGTTGTGGGCTCGATCTCCATTGCGGGGCATGCGGGAGGCAGCCAATCAATGATTCTCTCATCATTGATGTTTCTATCTCTCTCTCCTTCTCCCTTCCTCTCGATATCCATAAAAAGTATATTTAAAAAATAATCTGCCCCTTCTATTACATAGATAGTTATAAGGGTCAATGAGGTAATGGGGTTCACTGAACACTATTTAACTTTTTTTCAGATTTGGAAATATATTTTATATGAAAGAAAAGAGTAATTTTCAGTCAAGCTACACTTTCATTACAAATGAAATATAGAATTTAGATAACTTAAAACTTTAGCTTTTGTTTATTAATTATAATGCAGCCATTCACTGTAGTCCCTCAATTAAAGAATGCCCTGAGAATGGAGCATTCCTCTATAACTATAGTAGGACATTTTTAAATAAAATTAAATGGTACTCAAACAATCAAAGAAACATCTATGTAATCATGTGACTATGGCTACTTAATGCTAGCAATATTATGGCTTTAGTGCTATTCTTTGGAGAACTCTTCCATTTCTTGCATTTCAATTATAAGTGAACAGAGCTCATCATAGTCAGTATCCTGAAGTCTGAGAAGGTTCAATTTGGTGTAAAGATTCAATTTTAGTGTAAAAACATTTTATGTCTCCACTGGGCACTAGTTAATCTGCTGTCTGCTGGTGATTCTTTGTCTCTTGTAGTTCGGTGCCATTTCACACACCCAAAGTCCTCCTAGTCTGTTGATTTTACTTTCATTAAAACAGTAACATGTTGATTAATTTTATATTTATACTTTTTCCCGTACTTTGGTTGAAACTTATTCAACCATTTGTATTATGACCTGGGATACATATAAGAATCGCTGCATCATTCCTACAATAGTAGGTCAATATCAATGAAAACCTTGGCCAAATAATTTAAATTTTCTTAAGCTCCTTCATCATCATCTGGTCCACTCTTCTATAATTAAAATTCTCAAACAGAAGTACCGCAATTTCTAGTATTCTAAGAAAAAACAAATCCAGGGGCATCTTTTTAATCTATATTCATTTTTTTTCTTTATTTTATGAAGTGATTGACCCAGACACCCTGTCCTTTATCCTGGAACTTTTCTCTCTTAGACTTCTATGAGATTCAGTGTTATTTCTTTGACCATAACCTCTGATCTTACTTATTTGCTCTTTTTTTTCTCTAACAGCATGCTTCCATGGAACTTGTCTTGGCATTCTTCTCTATTTTCCTTTGATGTCACCTCTGATTAAGTCATCTCAAGGTGATTCAGAGAATTCTCTATTTCTCCAGGCTCACCTTTTTTCTTTATCAGCATGTAGATAGTTACAATCACCAGCTTCATATCGCTATCTATCTATCTATCTATGTATCTGTCTATCTATCTATCATCTATCTATCTATATGTATGTATATGTCACACTAAACATAGTGAGCCAGAGCCTCCAACGCTCTGTGTCCAAAGCCAGGCTACCTGCACATCAGCATTTTTTCAGTTCTGTGAAATGGACAAGTTAAAAGAGAAACTTATAAAAGAAGATGCATTTGGTTATAGGGTGAGAAAGAGAGCCTCAGATAACAGGAATAATGGGTAGTATTCTACAGAAAGGGAGAGAGAAACCGGGTACTCCTTATAGCAACTTGACTTGAGATAGCTATAAGAAAATTAAGAAAGAGGAGATGTAAAATGGAAGCAAGAAGAGAGAGAGAGAGAGAGAGAGAGAGAGAGAGAGAGAGAGAGAGAGAGAGAAAGAGAGAGAGAGATGCTTAGAAACAGAGGTTTGAGCATTTAGCATGACAATAAAACAGCACCATATGCTCTTTTACTTACTTCTCACTAGAATAGGAAGCTCTTCACCTGAATGGAATGTCACATGAAAAATAATTTTTAACTTACTGTGATAAATTGATCTTTCAAGAACATTAGGTGAAATATATACTCATGATAAAACCTGGCTCTATCACAGAATAGTGCGCATTAATGTTTAACAATTAGTCAAAGCCTCCCATAGCAGAAAGAGCTAAATTAAAGTTAAATAATACTTTTAAGCTTGAAAGATACCCCATACTGTTAGATAATGCAAGGATGTTGAGAAAAGTAACCAAAAACTAATTCACCGAGTTTGTAAAATCAAATATTCTGTACTCTAGGTAATCTTAATATTGCTCAGTCACTGTAAATCAGATTATTCTTGAGATTGTATTTACGTCAAGGCAAATGGTCTTCTACTTACAAATGTAATTTAGTCTCATGAATAGGTAATCTTGTTAAAATATTGTCAGCCTAACTGAAATTGATTTGTGTTTACTAAACGTACAGAATACTAATTAAATATTAGACACAAGTGCTGGAGGTATTTCAACCTTTGACAGACACTGTTAGTGCTTCATGGAAGAATTGGATTTGTTTTTTTGTCTCAGAGGTCAACATTGCTTTTCGGCCTTTTCTTCTAGATGCAGAAGGAGAAAATGAGGAGAAATGGCCCACATTTCTTTCATGAAATTTTGTGTTTGGGGAATATTTGGAAGAATTTGGGATTGGTTTGGGGGGAGTTATGTATGTTTTATCTCCATTGCTACAAACAACACATTTGTTTTTTCCATCTGCTTAATTCCATCGCAGGTTTGCGATTCACAACCACGCATAGCATCTTTGAGCTCCACATAATAGCTTTTATAGGAGACAGACAGGACCAGCCAATCTGAAAAGCAGGTTGAAGATAAAGCCTGATAGCTCACGTGCCCTGGCCTGGTGACTGGGCTCACTGCAGAAGCTTGTACCAAATGGGCTGCATGCATCTTCTGTGCTGTATATGTATGGGCTCTATGAGGCTTAAAGAAACATTTCCCCTAATACGAAAATAAACCCACCATAATCATTCGTTTTGGAGAAATTTTACAGTTGTTGGTTAACCTGCTCCCTTATGCCCCGCAATATTCATTAACAGATTTCTCTGTTTATGAGTGATATTATATGTAAATGGTTATGGGAAGCTAACAGATGTAACCAGTGAAGTAAATTAGAAGGAAAAGTTCTGTTTTTTACAGATGGTTCTACTGAATATGCTTTTATCTCTCCTCGACTTTAACATTTAGTTTTCTTTCAACAGAAAACTTTTCTTTACTGACTATGGGAATGTGGCCAAAGTGGAGCGGTGTGACATGGATGGCATAAACAGAACAAGGATAATTGATTCAAAGACAGAGCAGCCAGCTGCACTGGCACTAGACCTAGTCAACAAATTGGTTTACTGGGTAGATCTTTACTTGGACTATGTGGAAGTTGTGGACTACCAAGGAAAAAACAGACATACTATTATTCAAGGCAGACAAGTAAGTATAATTTTGTTAGAAAAATACAGCTAAGGTAATAAAATGCATGCTATCATAGGAAGAAGAAGGCCCCAAATCTCAATGTTGAAAATCCCTTATGAAGTTAAGCTTCAATGGGTCATAAAATTATGATGTATTTCCTAGATGGGAGAATGTTCTTTTCGCAGTGCATTCTATATATTGGATATGTCTCTCATTGTTTCCTTCCCTGTATTAACAACACAGCACAGAAAACAAAACAAAAACAACGCAAATAAAACAGGAACACCAAACAACCAAAACAAAAATGCTAGACTAGTAAGAAAGGAAAATACTAAAATATGACAGATGTTGTGGCCCACTTACTAAACACTAATTTAAGTAGTTTATTTATTAAAAAAAAAAAAGAACTAGGATTTGTTCCATGTGTCATTGGAGATATTTTGCTAACAAAAGCAAATGCCTGCTTCCAAAAGTATTACTTTAATACAGTGGTTCTCAACCTTCCGAATGCCGTGACCCTTTAATACAGTTCCTCATGTTGTGGTGACCCCCAACCATAAAATTATTTTCGGTGCTACTTCATAACTGTAATTTTGCTTCTGTTATGAATTGTAATGTAAATATCTGATATGCAGGATGTATTTTCATTGTTACAAATTGAACATAATTTAAGCATAGTGATTAATCACAAAAACAACATGTAATTATATATTCAATATGTGTTTTCCGATGGTCTTAGGCGATCCCTGTGAAAGGGTCATTCGACCCCCAAAGGTGTCTCGACCCACAGGTTGAGAACCGCTGCTTTAATAGGTTGGATTAAATTTTTCCTTCTGGTATATTCAAGTATTTCCTAAAATGAGATTTCTGTAAAAATTTTGAAATAAATTTTCACTGAATTCAAAATTTTCACGGAATTCAAAAACTATACAGATAGTCAAAACTGTATAGTTTCTCCCTTGCTGGATTACAAGATTATTTTTTTTCAAATAACAGTCAGTAAACACCTCACAGGAAATCTCTAAATTGAAATGAGCCTTATTCAGTAGTAGAGCTTTTCAAATTCAATTTTACCTCACTTATTGCACTAATTTCATGTGAGAATCTTATTCTAGCAAAATGAATCTTTTTCTTTCGCAATGCAAAGCAAAAATATTCTGTAATTATCCCTTTAAGTTACTTTTCCTTTCTAATTAACTTTTGACAATGAAATTCTTTCCCTTTCCTTAGGAAATAAACAAATGCACTAATCTGGGTGGTAAAAAAAATAAAGTTTCCAATATTAGCGTTGAGGCCAGATATTTCTCACCTTCAACTGTCCTAAAATGGTTATGATGGACCTTCTTTTTTACCTATACATAATAAAATTTTTAAACAAGGATAAGGAATTCAAATTATTCTCTCCATGACTATAAAGTTTTTGAATGTCTGAAATTTTTATTATCCATTTACTTTTTCCTTTGTATTGTTTGGTTTTGCTGGCCTGCCACTAAGTAATCCGACATGTAAATTAGTTGGCCACTCTGTAATCCAACAGATACATTTTTGAAGAATTTGGGCTGTAGGAAGAATGGTCTATTCACCACTCTAAACTCCTTCCACCTCTACTGGAGGTAGTTAACAGAGCAGGCAACATGTACTTACTTTATGGGGAACAGACCCTTCTGAAGGCAGGCAGGGAGACAGTGAGTAAAATTTGATCCTATTATTGTGATCTTGTTTTCTACTCTGATGAATTCAAATGCCCCCTTGGTAGTCATGGGATGTGGATTGTCAGTTATGTAGAGTGTAATGTGAGTATATCACAACCATACACTCCTAGATGACTGGCCCCAAATTTTGAGCCAAACATGCATCAGAATGATGGTAATGGAAGGTTTGTAATTTTTATAGAAAAAAAAAATACCCTGAGCGAAATTGGGCCATAGGTATATTTAGTTAATATGATGTCAGCTATATTGAAAATATATTAGTATATACATGCATGCTCACACAAACACACACAAACTTATGCTAACAACAACAACAAAAAAAGATTATTTGCACTTTAGCATTGAATGATTCAACCCATTAATTCTACTCTTTCACTTTTAGCCTAGACATGAAGAAATGAGATATGGTAAAAAACAAAACAACAACAACAAAAAAAAACAACAACATGCAATCTTCTTCTACTCATGTCTCACATGAGAAGATCAGAAATAGTAATGATGAATCATAGATGCTTGAGAAATAAAAAAATCCAATGATTTTGCTTAAAATACAGAACTAACAAGATTTCCTGATTAAAAGAGAAAAAATTGTAATATGTTCTATAAATATTTTACAGTCAAACCATACTTAGTTTCTCAAGTTCTCTTAACTATAAATCTATACTAAAAGTGCTCCAAAATACAATATATTACCAAAGTATAGTGACAAATGCTTTTTTATCAAAATTTCTACAGGAAACCAATTGACAGCTCTACCATATCCTGAGCCAGAATCATTTTAATTTAAGTGTAACACAAGGAATACCCAAAGGCCTAGCATGTGCCTTTAATGGGAAAACCAGTATACTCATTATTTCTCTATTTTACCGGAAATGTTCCTTGACTTCAAGATTTCTATTCTTCCCCACAATCTCCAAGACCTCTACCAAGGAGGATATTTCCACTATTAAAGTGTCATGGATAGCAATAAACATTGTTACTTTCAAGCAAACAGTTCCATTTCCATTATGAATAGGCTTTAGAAAGAATGTGATTTCTTAGTGAAATGATGACATTTTCTTTACAATTATTCCAAATATGTGATTTCATCACTTATTATTTCCATGCTGGGCAAGTATTAATCTAATTGTAACTTGGGATTTTTTTAATGGGATTTTTAATTTATAAAATGAATTTTTTAAAAGTACCTTAGCATTAGTTCTTTCACAGACAGAGCTATGCTTTTGAAGATTCTACATATCCATGTCTATATGAGCAAAAAGCCCATAAAAGTACCTCCAATTTTATATCAGTGCCATATGAATATTAATGAATAGACTTAAAGGTTTGCTTCTTGCTAGCTTTCAAAAAGTAGCCACTGAGCATGTTTTCTTAATGAAACCTGAATAAAATTTTCTCCCATGCATTTGCAACTGCTTTATCCACTACTGTATGTTTTATTCTCAGATTATTTTTTTAAACTAGTACAGTGTTAATTTTTTTAGAGTAAATGAACAATAATATGGTGTGACTCTGCTACTAAGGGAATTGTTCAGACTAGTACATAGCAATCTGTTTTTCTTCGAAGTTGAAAGCAGCATAATTAAAAATCTAGTTATGTTTGTCCCTCTTTATAGGTCAGACAATTTTATGGTATAACTGTGTTTGAAGACTATTTATATGCAACCATTTCTGATAACTTCAACATCATAAGGATAAACCGATTTAATGCCACAGATAGGCATTCATTCATTAAAATGGAAAATGCTCGAGGACTCCGAATCTATCACAAAAGAACTCAACCTATAGGTAAGATGCCAGACTTCTTCATAGACTTCATGATGGTGAATTGAATGGAGTTATGGTCCTTGTGCCTTTGTATTATGCTAAAGTGGGAAAATCATAAATTCTCTGTTTTGATTAACAAAAGTGCACATGTCTGCTTGACACAATGGATAGAGCTCCCTTCTCAAGTTTAAATGAAAAATCGTTCAGTTCCTGGTGAATCGTTTCTACAAGCATAAAGTTAAAATGAGAGTTAGATTTAGATTCAGGAAGGAGCTTTGGGTCATCAGGCATGTAGTCAGGAAACCCAGATGCTAAGATACTAAGAGTTTTTTAGTATAATTTTGGAGAGAAATTTCAAATCAGGTTACTTTCTTACAGTACTGGTTCAGTTTTATTGCAATCATTGGGGTCTTTTGACTTAACATCCTAAGGTGTTTTTTTTTTTTAATGCATCTTTATTAAAAATAATTTTTAATGACTAGACTTCAGTGTTTCTTCGTAGTTGTCAATAACACAAACTAGTTATTTTGCATAGTAGGTTAGTAATGCTTATTCATGAATACAATTTAGGCTAAATCACATCTTCTATAATAAAAGCCCAGCGACTGAATGGCGGAACAACCAGAATGGCAGAATGACCAGAATGACCGGTCGACCAGTCGCTATGATGTGCACTTACCACCAGGGGGCAGATGCTCAACACAGGAGCTGCCCCCTGGTGGTCAGTGCACTAACACAGTGGGAGTGCCGCTTGGCTGACTGGGATGAGTGGCTGCTCCTGCTGCAAACCCTGGGCCTAGGAGCAGGAACCCGGGCTGCAATCATCACGTCCTCGCCCCAGGCTCCTCCTCCTCGCTTCCTGCCACCTCTTCCAGATGCCCTAGGCCAGGCTACAGTGCTTGCAGAGCTGATCCCGGAGACTGGGAGGCAGGTTCATGGCTGCCATGGGACTGAGGTCTACTCAGTGCTATTGTCCCTGGGCCCGGCCCCAACTGGGTCCCCTGGAGAGGCAAGTGCTCCTGCTCCACGGAAGATGCCGGACCAGGGAGCAGACCCTCAGAGGGCAGGTCCACAGCTGCTCAGCAGACAGAGATGAGCAGTGCTCCCTCAGTGGCCTATCCCTGCAGACCACGCCCCCCATTAGTGCACAAATCTCATGCACCGGGCCTCTAGTATAGAAATATATAAAATACAAAGGCCACCACCAAAACTTTTCATTATCTTTTTATGCTTCATCAAATCAACATAATTATCTGAACATTAACATATGAGAAAAATTAAGCCCATAAGGATGATGAGTGTCAGGAATAGGGCTAGTTTACAATAATTTATTAAATGGTCAGAGGAAGTCCCACTGAAAAGATAAAATCGAGTGAATACAAAAAATTGTGGCACAATTTCTAAAAGTGTAGCAGTTTTATTATGAAAAGAAAATTGCCATGTTATTCATTGCAATTCCAAGTAATTGTTGCTCAAAAATCAGTATAATTACAATAATACATAAAATCTTACTGACATTTTCCTACTACAGTACTACAGCCTTGACTCATCATTCTGTTTCTCATCCTCTCCATATGGTACTTTTCCTGATCTTTTTTCTTATTCTGTGGCTCTGTGGCTTATAAAATGACCTTCTATTCCTCTTTCTCCACATGCAAACTCAGCCTCCTCCTTTTGGCAATTTCAGTTACACACACACACACACACACACACACACACACACACACCCACACACACACACACACACCAATTCATTTTGTAAGAGAGTTCTCAAGATGGCAATGTCTTCAGTAAAGATAATCACTGAATTACCTTTAGTTTAGGTTAGATAATTATGGCTTATTATGAAGAAATCCTTTTTCTACTTAACAACCAAACTGGGATACTTTTACCATACCTTTTATATTTGAAAAAAAAAATATATATATGGTATAACTGTGTTTGAAGACTATTTATATGCAACCATTTCTGATAACTTCAACATCATAAGGATAAACCGATTTAATGCCACAGATATGCATTCATTCATTAAAATGGAAAATGCTCGAGGACTCCGAATCTATCACAAAAGAACTCAACCTATAGGTAAGATGCCAGACTTCTTCATAGACTTCATGATGGTGAATTGAATGGAGTTATGGTCCTTGTGCCTTTGTATTATGCTAAAGTGGGAAAATCATAAATTCTCTGTTTTGATTAACAAAAGTGCACATGTCTGCTTGACACAATGGATAGAGCTCCCTTCTCAAGTTTAAATGAAAAATCGTTCAGTTCCTGGTGAATCGTTTCTACAAGCATAAAGTTAAAATGAGAGTTAGATTTAGATTCAGGAAGGAGCTTTGGGTCATCAGGCATGTAGTCAGGAAACCCAGATGCTAAGATACTAAGAGTTTTTTAGTATAATTTTGGAGAGAAATTTCAAATCAGGTTACTTTCTTACAGTACTGGTTCAGTTTTATTGCAATCATTGGGGTCTTTTGACTTAACATCCTAAGGTGTTTTTTTTTTTTAATGCATCTTTATTAAAAATAATTTTTAATGACTAGACTTCAGTGTTTCTTCGTAGTTGTCAATAACACAAACTAGTTATTTTGCATAGTAGGTTAGTGATGCTTATTCATGAATACAATTTAGGCTAAATCACATCTTCTATAATAAAAGCCCAGCGACTGAATGGCGGAACAACCAGAATGGCAGAATGACCAGAATGACCGGTCGACCAGTCGCTATGATGTGCACTTACCACCAGGGGGCAGATGCTCAACACAGGAGCTGCCCCCTGGTGGTCAGTGCACTAACACAGCGGGAGTGCCGCTTGGCTGACTGGGATGAGTGGCTGCTCCTGCTGCAAACCCTGGGCCTAGGAGCAGGAACCCGGGCTGCAATCATCACGTCCTCGCCCCAGGCTCCTCCTCCTCGCTTCCTGCCACCTCTTCCAGATGCCCTAGGCCAGGCTACAGTGCTTGCAGAGCTGATCCCGGAGACTGGGAGGCAGGTTCAATGGCTGCCAGGGACTGAGGTCTACTCAGTGCTATTGTCCCTGGGCCCGGCCCCAACTGGGTCCCCTGGAGAGGCAAGTGCTCCTGCTCCACGGAAGATGCCGGACCAGGGAGCAGACCCTCAGAGGGCAGGTCCACAGCTGCTCAGCAGACAGAGATGAGCAGTGCTCCCTCAGTGGCCTATCCCTGCAGACCACGCCCCCCATTAGTGCACAAATCTCATGCACCGGGCCTCTAGTATAGAAATATATAAAATACAAAGGCCACCACCAAAACTTTTCATTATCTTTTTATGCTTCAAATCAACACTATAATTATCTGAACATTAACATATGAGAAAAATTAAGCCCATAAGGATGATGAGTGTCAGGAATAGGGCTAGTTTACAATTTGATATTAAATGGTCAGAGGAAGTCCCACTGAAAAGATAAAATCGAGTGAATACAAAAAATTGTGGCACAATTTCTAAAAGTGTAGCAGTTTTATTATGAAAAGAAAATTGCCATGTTATTCATTGCAATTCCAAGTAATTGTTGCTCAAAAATCAGTATAATTACAATAATACATAAAATCTTACTGACATTTTCCTACTACAGCCCTTTCTCTTTGACTCATCATTCTGTTTCTCATCCTCTCCATATGGTACTTTTCCTGATCTTTTTTCTTATTCTGTGGCTTCAACATTTATAAAATGACCTTCTATTCCTCTTTCTCCACATGCAAACTCAGCCTCCTCCTTTTGGCAATTTCAGTTACACACACACACACACACACCCACCCCCACACACACACACACACTCACCAATTCATTTTGTAAGAGAGTTCTCAAGATGGCAATGTCTTCAGTAAAGATAATCACTGAATTACCTTTAGTTTAGGTTAGATAATTATGGCTTATTATGAAGAAATCCTTTTTCTACTTAACAACCAAACTGGGATACTTTTACCATACCTTTTATATTTGAAAAAAAAAATA